CATTCAGTCCTAACGTTTGGTTATGTGTGTTATGCCAGTATAGTTGATGAAAAGAGAGGGACTCAACGAACTATTACGGACTATTTTACGCTGCACAAGTTAGCGGCAACCGTTGACTGGGACCTAGACGCACAGTTCAGTCAATGAATCATGGAATGAATTAAAAGCGAAAATTAACTGAGTCATACAATCAGCCTCGTAAGTTGTACCATCACGAGCATCGCGTCGGACCAATACGTTGATCCGGAGCAGAACACGTGACTGGATCAACAGAAGAGATGAGATCTGGAGGCAACATTCGCTAAGCTCATGTGATACCACATGGCAGAATTACAAAGCAACCAGAAAGTAATGCACGTCGCTCATTAGAGTCAATAAGTCCGAATGGCAGGAAATCTAGGTGCTGAAATTTACAAGTAAAACCAAAATACTATACAGAAATGTGAATGGCAAAAGAAAGGTTAAGCCCGGAATACTCCAAATCAAGACGGCCAGTGGCCTAACAACTACTGCTATGGATTCCGCGAACGCTCTACTCCTACAGTTTGGATCAGTAGCTACAAATACCGTGGAACCTACGCCCTATCAACTCCCAACAAATGTCTTTGGCAACTCCCGCGTCGCCTTTACTCCAGCAGCTGTTGCAAGCAAATTACAGTCTCTCCGGCAGTACAGTGCCCCTGGAGCCGACTTGATCTGCCCAAGACTACGAAAAACCTTGCTCCCATCATAGCAGCACTACTTGTAGCTTCTTTCCAGGATCTGCTTAACTCCTATACACGCCCATCTGAGTGGGAAAATGGAATTATCACTCCAATATACGAAGGAGGTAAGCGACCGGATCCTACAAACTACCGACCTATTACTTTCCTCCTTATTTTATCAAAAGTAATGGAATCGGTAATCGCGGTTGAGCTGACACAATACATTGAAAGCCTATAAATAATTCCTAACGTCCAACATGGTTTCAGGCACAGACGATCTTGTCTAACCAATTGGTTGCTTACTCTGGACTCATGGACCAGGACGGCTGATGAAGGCGTCCCCATAGATGTGATTTACTTAGATTTTTCGAAAGCACTCGTCAGGGTCAATTACTTCTTTCTCCTCCACAAGCTTGCGGCCTACGGTATCAACGGTTCTCTGCTCACCTGGATAAAAGATTACTTACACGAAAGAGCAATGAAGGTAAGAGTAGCCGACACTCACTCTGCAAGCCTGTGTGTCTCCAGTGGTGTACCGCAAGGACCCGTCCTCGACCCGCCACTGTGTTTACTCTACAATAAGGACCTTTCAGCAGACATGTTATCCCCGATGCAAATATCTGCAGATGATGCTAAAATATGGCGCAATTCCCTCAGCATCCGACTGTGTATATCTTCAGGATGATTTGGCTGTGATTAACAAATGGGCAGAAGCGAATCAGTTCCCACTGAATCCTGCAAAGCGCCACCTGCTCACCGTGCGCAGCAGCTTCGTCAACACACCTTCCGGGGCAACACGTCCTACAATACGTGACTAGTGAAGGGGACTTATGTAAAATCGTGCAATAGAGTCTTAGCATTTCGCCTCAACGTTCCAAAGCAGCAAGTGTGGAGAACTTGAACATGAGACTTCTTTTGAGGCCAGCTGAGGTTACCTTTGAGCGACGGCTAGTACCATTGTTGATTAACTCCTATTTTCGGCCTCACGTTGAATATGAAATTGAGGCCTGGTGTCCATGGTTGAAACAAGACATTCGCCAATTGGAACAATCCCAAAGAACCGCCACAAAGGCAACGCATGGACTATCCGGTCCAAGTTACGAACTGCATCATGGTGTCTTCGGTATGTTCTCCTCAGAATACCAACGGCTTCGCGGAGATCGTATTCTCATATACCGGATACCAACTGAAAGCAAGTATCCATGTACATCACTGTTGACCCTAGCCCCTAACAAACAATGCCGATGCAACCACTTTTAAATAGTTGTTCATACACCCCGAGCGGTCGCAAAAAAGTGTCCTCCTGCGTTATTCGCCCCGAGATCTTCGGATTTATTCTCACAGTGACCTACGTACTATCATTCGATTGAGCTCCGCGAGCTCCTCCTACCACTGTTCACCTTTTGGATCTGTCATTCCTGGATCCGCAGAAATCTGTGCTTTTGCAATTTCGAAGTCAACCGTGCTTGAATTTTAGCAGACAATTTATTTTTCCTCTCGTCGCACAAGAACTCTGGTGGTCATATTTTAAAGATCTTTTTGAGAGTCACCCGAGCACCTTACTACCACTCCTTCTAGTCGCTGTACAAAGCAATAGTTGTCAATTTGGTCCGCCTTTTGTGCAGCCACTGTCGTCAATAGACAGTATTTTCCAAGTCGCACTGCCTTGCCGTCGTCCTACGTTGCTTCGCTACCTGTCCACTTACCTGCTGGATCAATAGTACGCACGTCGCCTATCTTTCCTAAGGAACGGATGACTCATTTGGACGCCACAAGTCTGACCCCCCTGACCTCAAACCAGCGCCGATCGCCGCGCAACGAAAACTGAAGCGAAATCATACACTGTGAGTCAGTCTCTCTATCCTCTTGCTACCTCTGCTCTAGTGTACACATCCAGATACTCCATTCCATCTTGTTAGTGGTGAATCTCTACACCATATCACCACCATCTGCGGTCATTCCCACTTCGCTGCCCCATTACTGACCGTGACCACATAATTCAGTAGAATTATCCATTCTAAGCTAGTGGTAAGTGAGAGATCTACAACATAGATTCTGAACTCACCTTTTCTATCTAATCCCTTTTGGAATTGGTGCAAGTCAAAATAACAAAGTACACGCCTCAAGTGGATATGGCCCATTCGAAAATCAATTGTGACCTATGTGTAAAAACTGTTAAGTCTGGTCCAGTTTGCTTTAACTGTCAAAAAGCGTACCATTCGAAGTGTTTAGGGATGAGTGCACTCGAAACTAGACAATACAGCAGCAAAACCGAAGCATTTTTGTTCTGCCAGGTGTGCAAATCCATTCCTGTCGTTAGTTGTGTAATTTTCCTAATGAAAAAGTGTGAAAAGTTGGCGGAAACAGTTGAGCAACTGGTGAACGCTCGCAACGCAGCTGTGAAAGTAAACAACGCTATACTTGAAACTGAACGGACACCTACAAACTCCCCGTTTAGGCCGAGGAAGAGGGCCAGGCATCCGAACCCCACCATCACGTCTCAGTCTCCAACGGCCCCTAGCCTCATGACTCCACTAAGTGAAAAAGTCGTTTACAACCCACTTGCTACTACGTCCTCCAAGGGTGTAATAACTAGTAATTCAGTTGACATACTCGACACACAAAACTCCAGCAAGCCTACGGTAAAAAATAACTGGACATCCTACGCAGCGGTTGCTTCTAGGAAAACGCCGTCAAAGACACCTGTGACTCCACTTATCGGAGAGGTCAAAACTGTGCCTCAACATGGATCGCTATCGCCAGTGCGGTTCACAAATCCACAAAAAGCAAAAGAACCTAGTGCTGTTAAGTCGCAAACCACAAGGCGGAATCATGGTGCCTTAAGTCTTGTGTGCACTAACGTTCCTGAATCCAAATCCAACACAATAAAGGGCAAACTGATAGACGATCGTAGTCAGTGGGATTCCATCTGTAGTGCCATCAGCATGCGCGCTGAACCCACTACGCTGAGCCGCATCGCAAGACACCCAAACAACTTACACTATGGTGAACCTCGACTACTTCGAGTAACACTACATTCCGCGGAAGAAACGGAATCCATTCTGCTCGCTGCAAATCGACATCACAGAGCATCGAACGGAGTATGTATCTTACCGGATATTCCGTGGAAAGAACGTTCAAAGGATATGAACAATCAACAGGGAAGTAGAAAACACGCGCTGAAAACCGTCATTATTCATGGCGTCCCCGAGTCTCAAGCTTCACCTCCTGAAGAAGCTCAGGCACATGACCTGGAGCAATGGCGATACATTCGTGAGGCGTTGTCTTTAGAAAATGTCATTGCTACCTCCCTGACCAGGATTCCCGTGTCACCAAATTACAAAGGGTATGGTCCTAGGTTGCTGAAGTTGGTCTTACCGTCTGAGCTAACTTTACAGACAGTTCTAGAGAACTGGGGTAAATTCCGGAACATGCTACCAACAGAAATTCGAATTAAAGCAGCAGGTTTACGACCAGAGGCTACTGGTTACTCCATGGAGAGAACCAACTCAGTGGGAACAACCGTTGTTGCAGAGTCCACCACAGAGACTGATCTGACTGCCGTCATAGCATCCGGCGAAGCACTGCAGGAGGTGAGTGACCATCAGGATCATCATGAACCTGATCATACGGTGCAGAGAGTTATCCTAAGTCATTCTCGCGAGCCTAAGACAATTCCAAAAAACTAGTAGCAGCCGACCTCAAGAGGGTCGGCCAAGTCTCAAACCTGTTGTCTACATCCACAAACAACCTTCTTACCTATGAATCACTCTCCTGTTTTTATACCAACGCACAAGGTCTTTTAAGCAAACTGACGGAGCTTCGCCTACGTCAGACCTCGATGTCAAGCGACCTCGTTATGATAACGGAGACCTGGTTGAATGAAGCGATCAGTGATGCAGAAATCGCACTACCTGGGATGTCTATTCTACGCAATGATCGACCAAGTAGAGGAGGTGGAGTAGTACTTTATTATCGCAGCGAACTACACATTGATCTCATCGATGACCCAGAGGTTCAGATTGTCGATGCGCTTTGGTGTCGTCTTCAACTTAGCCGTGGGGACGCATGTTTGTTGGGTGTGGTGTATCGCCCTCCGTCGGCTACTTTGGAAATGGACAACCGCCTAGCCTCCACAATGAAGACCATTCTCTCGCAGTCGTACAGCCACATTCTCCTGGTTGGCGACTTCAATATTCATACCATAGAAACCCCAGCCTGTATCAACGAACACTTCAAAATGGAAGTACAGGAGATAATCAGTGGGCTACCACTCTACAATCACATCACATCTCCCACAAGATTCAGGACGGGAAACAAACCGGGTGTCCTGGATCTTGTATTCACCAATGAAGAGCTTATGATCGAAACGGTATCGATAGAGAGTCCTTTAGGCCGTAGCGACCATGCAACCCTCATGTTCAAGTACATCTGTTATGCAGAGTATTCCTCAGAAAACACAGCGGAATGTCAGCTCATTACGGATTACGGCGCTCTACTCAAACTTATAAATGCTACAAACTGGGCATTTCTAGCAGAACGATCCCCCGATGACGCCTGGTCTGAATTTGCTCACCAATTCAACACGTTAGTAACTAGTGCTTCTAGGAAAAGACCTTCGCGAGCGAAGACAGTAAAATCATTCATACGCAGCAGGACACGCAAGTGTATCGTCACGAGGAATTTACTCTGGCGAAGATACAAGGAGTCATCGAGTGCCGAAACATGGGAAGCCTACACTATCCAAAGGAATCACTGCGTAAACCTGGTACGCGAAGATAAAATACAGCACCAACAGAATCTAGCCGAGAAATTCCTTTCAAACCCCAAGCTCCTGTACAGACACGTTAACAAGCTCCGCAAAGTGCAGCGAGGAATTCCTGCTTTACACACATTGTGTGGACTTGCACAAAACGCAACCGAGGCGGCCAACGCCCTATGTCAACAATTCACCCCGAACTTCCAGAGCACGACATCGCCGCATACACTGTTCCCAATCGTTGTACCACCACCAGGACTTAGCCACATCACGTTTACGACTGCGGATGTTATGAAAAGGCTAATTGCCCTGCGCGAGCATACCTCTCCCGGTGTTGATAATATTCGTCCAAAAGCGTTGAAAATGGCTGCAGTAAACCTGGCGGACCCCCTCTGCAAGTTCTTCCAACGATGCCTAAATGAGATGCGCGTGCCAACAATGTGGAAGCAAGGCATCGTCACTCCCATCCATAAGGGAGGAAGTCGTACAGATCCGGCCAACTATCGCCCGATAACACTACTTCCGGTGCTCTCCAAAATCATGGAAGCGATTGTTGCCGAAGCGCTGATGAACTTCTTGGAAGAACGCAATATCATAGCACAAGAACAACATGGGTTTCGCAAGAACCGATCTTGCACTTCAAACTTGCTGCTTGCCAGATCCAGTTGGACTGAGACCGTTGACAGCGGCGTAGGTGTTGACGCAGTATATCTGGACTTCTCAAAGGCTTTCGACCGTCTGAACCACCGTATCCTCCTTCACAAGCTGCAGTGTTGTGGAATTGGTGACCCAATCCTCGGTTGGATAGCTAACTTCTTGCTTCAACGACATCTGAATGTAAGAGTTCGCGGCGTCATCTCTGACCCAATCGACGTTAAGTGCGGAGTGCCCCAGGGCTCAGTACTTGGTCCACGACTATTCCTGATTTACATAAATGATCTCGCGACAGTAATCAACTCCAACTCCTTACTCTTCGCTGATGATCTCAAGATATGGCGAGCCATTAGAACAGCCAGCGACAATGCAGCACTTCAGGATGATCTGGACAGGGTCTACGAATGGTCGACTCAGAACCTGCTTCAGTTCAACGCTACAAAGTGCAAGGTGTTGAGCATACGCCATAAAGCCACTTGCGAATACAGACTGGGGGATCAAATATTGCAGCGCACTACAACGGAATGCGATCTAGGAGTGGTAGTGCAGGAAGATCTGGGCTGTTCCCGTCAGGCCGAGAAAGCCTCCAAAAAAGCTAACCAAAACCTTGGCCTTTTGCGGAGGGCATTCGGGCGCTTCGATCCTTCCATCTTTTCTCAGATGCTCAACGCCTACATTCGGCCTTATTCTGAGTACGCCATCCACGCCTGGCAGCCATGGCAAAAGCAAGACCTTACCGCTCTTGAACTGCCACAACGAAGGGCGACCAAGAACGTAAAGGGCCTGTTTCATCTCCCTTACCGATTGAGGCTGAAAACCCTCGGGGTCTACAGTGGACAATATCGACGCCTGCGTGGCGACTTGATAATGACTTACATGATCCTGAGGAATCCAAACCATTGTTGTCGTCACCTACTAAAGCTGAATAGCAATACAACACTCAGAGGACACCAGCTAAAGCTGGCCACACAATACAGCCGGTTGGAATGCCGCCGGAATTTCTTTTCCCTTCGTGTATGCGAACACTGGAACGCTCTTCCCACATACGTTGTTTCTTCCCCACGCTAACGGTATTCAAAAGACGTCTGGATGATTCGCTTATCCACCTACATTACGCTATATAATCAGAGATGTCCACGTCAAACAAACGCGAAAAAACGGTGCTCATTCTCAGCTTTTGTGCTTTACTATTTACACACTGCTGTTGTGGAATATAGTTTCGGATATATCACAACTGCATTCATCAGTTTACCCCAGTCCAAGAAAGCGGCGCACGAGTAAGCGTTGGTCGTTTCTCTTGTTCTTAAGGCATGCCTTACCCATATTACTTCCCATATTACTCTACAGTAACAATTCAGTACACATTCTACAATGTTTCTATGAATAAGGGTCACTTGAATTCACTAGACGCTTAGATTGACGATTTACACTTATGTTTATTACACTTCAACCATCCTACGGGACTTGTAAAGCAATCGTTTCTTTAACTGTAATATATCATTGTTCATTGTAATGACGCAACACTTGCGTTTGAATTGTAAAAGGTATTTTTACTCACTTGGAATCTGTTCCCACTGGAATGCATTACCGCGATATGTTGTGAACGCACTAGACATGACGACATTCGAAAGACTCCTAGACTTTTATGTTTGTGCTAAACGTTACACAACAGTTTGCGAAAGTGCAATGCTTCAGCCAGTAATATTTCACCTTCCAGATTGGAACATTTTGATTTTTCTCTTCTTTTGCCTATCCATCCTGTGGGTTTTGTAGATTTATGCTTTTTATCCCATCATACGCCATTGAACTATTGAATACTATTAAACCTGATCACTAATGGACGATATAGAGTGAGAAATGAGGATTATCTCAGCCGAGAGAAAACAGCAGCTTTGTCACAAACAACAGCGAATCACATTTGATGGAATAGGCGCGTTGAAGAAGCGTGCGCCCTGGCCAGAAAGACGAAGCAGGACTGAGGCGTCCAAACATGACTCCAGGCAAGCACAGCTGAGTTAGGTGTAACCGTGCAGAACGTACGATCCATAGCACAGCGGATCACGGTGGCAGATGTGATAATGAAAAGTAAACAACATGAAGTAGTAGCGAAATAGAGCTTCCCCTCGATATACAGTATAAACCATGTATAGCTTTAAGAATACCATATTTTGATCGCTGCGCACAATGTGTTATTATGCTTGGAGGGGTACAATACAAGTTGTTCGACTTGTTTCGTAATATACCAACATCGCGGCGCGCCTTCCGTCGTTATTAGCTTTTACTCAAAAACGTATTCACAGTACGCATTAGTAAATCAGAACAAAGGATCGCAGCGAACTCTTTCAGCGCAGTGTAAATATGTTTCACATGATAGATCCAACCAATGTGACAGGGAACTATGGTTGGCGGCATCCAGTTCCGGATTTTCCTGTCACTGAGGCCTTCATAGGACAGCGCCAGGAGGCCTGGGCATACAGAGGGACTATGGATGGCTTGCGCTGCATTACCCGAAGCTCCATCCACACACCACATATCCAATGTACGCCAGAAGGAGTAAGACCGGGAGGAATGCGGATAGGAGCCACGTCTCATCAACGAAGCCGATGCACACTCCTTCACAGGCAAACACAAGCACGGTGTATTTAAGGAATCAAGCGCACACAAGGCGGTGGCTGGACCGTAGTCCGCTCCACACTGAGTGCATGGAACCACTCTTCGAGCCTAGCACGACCACAAGGACCGTGCACCCTGTCCCCTCCAGCAACGACCAACTTGCTCCTGGAGACAGTATGGACGAGGTGGGGGGGTATTAGAACAGTAGGTACCTTGTCAACATGCACATCAAGCGTAGCTACACCGGGGATATCAAGCAACAGTCATTCACTTGGAACGACCAGGTGAAATAAAATAAATCCAATGATGCATACAGATACTGTGGCATAACTCTTCGCTAAATTATCACATGAAGCAAGTTGGTTAGCGACGGATCCGCGATAAGTAAGAAATGTCCATAATTTACTTAAAAATGCTACAAAGGCGCTAAAGTTAAGGTAAATAACCACCATTATTTTAAGCGACTTGGGCAAATGAATAGCAAATTAGTCAAGTAGGCAGCAAAAACCGAATAAAGTGGAATGAATTTTATCCAGATTAAGTGGAACTAGTTTAGTCGCAAAATTGGTTTAGCCTAACTGCGGTGAGGAAGCGTCATGAATGCAACATCAGTTACAGCATGGGGCACAAATAAATATACATAGCTATATAGATACAAAATACTTCCTGAACAAAGACCAGGCGTGTGCGGCAACTCACAGTTTCGCGCTTTCGAGCCGCTTTAAGCCTGAGGACTTCTGTGTCAGTATGGTCGCTTTCGTTAACTAGACGTTCACCGCACATCCCAGTAGTGTCCACTTTAGGAGTGTCACTTCTGAGAGACTGGTCATCCTTATTGATGAGGGAGTGCGCCACAATGGGTACGTTTGATCGCAGATGTTTTCGATCGTGGGGCGATGAAGAAGCCACATCCTGGATTAAAGGTGGTTTAGATCCATCGCGCCGAGTAGGCGGTCTGAGTGGTTCACCGTTATGTTTTGCATGCTGCCTTTGTGTGTGTGCCCGCAGAAGCTCTGAATAACCTCTCTGTCTTTGATACTTTGTCCACTAAATAGAATTAGAGAATGAGTTGTTATCAGGGAGGACTAGCCAACACCAAATATGCAGTCTAACTGAAAATCGCGAAACTGATATTTGATACAAGTAATTGGATGTATTGTCACAGTAACGAGCGGAAAAAGGTAAGGTTCAGCCTAAGGTTAACCATCCTTAACCATTGACATCGGAAGAGATAGGTTGGTGATAGCCTCTCCAAGGCTTACCCGTTAGTGTGACTACTATCGCCCCACAATGGATGGAACCACGCTTTGAGCATAGCACAGTCACGAGAATCGTGCACCCAGTATCCCCATAAAAGATTAGCGGCCTCCTGGAGCTAGTACTCGGGCCGGGAGGTGCTGGACAAGTAGACACCTAGTCAACATTTACATTAAGCGCATCCACACAAGGGATATCATGCAACCACCACAGAAATTGTAGAAAAATATACACGCAAAATTGACACGGCATCTGCAGCAGACTAATAGGACTGAGCAAATGAAATATAAGGGAATACTTGTTATCCAGGTTACGGATATATATATATATATATATATATAAGTACGCAGTTCTGGCGAAAAAATTTCAAGCTTCTCTTAAACAGCCATTCATAAATAGATAGTCTACGTTGCACGGGGTGCAAACATAAGGGAGGAAGATGTGTTTTGTCCACACACCGACAATGCGTGCGACGCAGCTACTACACGCTTAGCCGCGGAACCAGAGGTGTACCGGAGCCAACGAGATACCACCAGAAGTGTTGAAACGGCGCACTCGTGTTAATATATTCGTTACACCCCTTTTCTGAAAAGTCCGTGATTTGAAGAGCAAGTGTCGGCTGACTTGTGAGATGCCCTTGTGCCACCACTGTACATAGGGCAAAGAGAGCAAGCAATGCACGAATTATCTTGTCAGCAACTTGCTGTGTTGTGGAGTTGCTTACTTGAATCCGGCTCAGCAAGCTGAGGATGTCCTGTTCCATAAGCTGAGGATGTGTGCAGTTGGTGGCGCACCGCACCAGCGTATCAAGGACTTCCTTATCAGGAGAAGATGGTGGCTTCAGGTGGAGGACCATCTAACGGAACGTTACCTGTCCACTAGCGGCGTACCCCAAGGTACAGTGCTGGGACCCATTTTATCTCTGATCCACATCAACGAAGTACCTCAGCTTTTTCGGTCGCCCTGAGCATTATTTGCGGATGGCCTGAAGATTTGGAGGATTATTGATTCTCGCGGCGACTGTGACTTCCTTCAGTAGGTCCTCGACCGCCTATCCCGGTGGTTTACGGAAGCTGACCTACCGGTCAACACGGCCAAGTCCTGGTTTGTGAGCCTGGGGTGGAGTAGCAATGGGCATGCGTACACCCTGGCCGGCCACCCGCTGCATCCCACCAGTTCCGTAAAAGATCTAGGCGTACTCTCATGCTGTGCTCTGAAGTCTGTCGACAACACGAACAGACTACGCAAACAGACTACGCCTGCCAAAGCAGGCACTTAGACGCAGCTTCTGCGCTTGGTCTGAAGAGATTGCCACTCGTCTGTTCTCTTCCATAATAAGACCGGTGCTTGAGTACAACTCACCCGCCTATTGCCTGATCATAATCGGTGAGATGCCGAGTGGAATGGGTCCAGCATGTAGCCACTCGGCTCATCCCCAGTTTACGGGGTATGCCGTACGAGGACCGATGTAATAATAATAATAAATAAACCGCCAGCTGTACGCCGTAACGGCGCTTCCCTGTCACGCGACCAATACCGGTCGCGCGTGGGCTGAGTATACCGCGAGGACGCCCGCCCCTACGCTGATTCGAACCGGTGACCTTATGGTTGCAAACTAGACGCGCATACCACTCGGCCACCGGCCGGCGAGGACCGACGTAGGAGACTAGGGCTTTTATACCCCGTCATATCGTCGGTTTCCAGTTGATCTCCTTATGACGCACCGGCTACCGCACCTGCGTCACTTCCCTATATTGGAACCGCTGCCGCAGGTTCGAGCACCAAGCAATACACGCGGACACCGGTACAAACTAGTGGTACCGGATCTAAAACACATCGAGCGTCCAGCGGTAAAATATTGGAACAAGTTGCCGGAGACGCTAGTCTAGGTGAAATCGGTGTCGGAATTTAAGAGGTTTCTTGACGCCTACTTTGCAGACTACAGGTATAGGGAGCGTATCGCACCAGGAGATGATGTATTGCAGCTGCAATATGTTGCCACCACGCAGGAATTAGTGACGTGATTGCGCGCATGTGCACGATCCATCTACGATGCAGCAACGCAGATTGTTATTTTCTCGCTCTCTATTCTCAGTGTTCAACCGCTTTGTTACTCAGGTCGTTGAACCGCACATGGTGATAGAGTGATGTGAATTCCGTTCGGGCCACAGCACTATGTATATGACGTGCGCGACTTGTCAGTTGCAGGAGAAATACCGAAAGCCATATCAGTCATTGTGTTTGCTGTTTGTAGCCCCCACCAAGGCATTTGACGCGGTGAACCGCGATGCTGTGTGGCTAGTGTTGGATACGTATAGTCGCCCGCAATGGTTTGTAAGTCTAATTGAATGTCCCTACTGTGGCATATGGGCGAGGGTGCAACATTGCGAATTGATCTCCGATTAATTTAAGATTAAATTTAATGTTGTGATCTCACTTCGATGAACCAACTAGCATTTAATGTTGCCTGTAGTGTGAAGCAAGGCTGTGTCATGTCCTCTGTCCTGTTTAATATTTCGCAGCATGCAATGATATTTTGTTGCTGCTTGTGATTACGATGTACTTGTGGAGCCCCGTACTGTTGGCGGTTTGCTGAACATCAGTCGTTTAGGGGCGAGAACTATGGTGAGTAAAACAACCATTCGTATGTTGCAGTTTGTCGACGATTTTGAGTTGTTTGCACGCAGCGCGGATCAGTTGCCGCGCAGGACGACGGCTCCCGCTTCGACAACGGCGAAGTGCGAGTTCACCATAGATGCAAGCAAAACATGTCGTCAATTATAGAAGTCACCAGGTATGGAGATTGTATGCTAGTTGCAAATGCAGGTTGCTGATGCTATATTTGAGACAGCACCGAAATTTTGCCACCTTATCGTCGTAATATGCACCGGCCTCCAGTTGATGAGCCAGCTGCATATTCGAGTATCGAAGGCGACTGCTGCGGTTGGTAAAATGAAACGAAATTGCTGGTATTCGAATCCATGGCACACTCTGTTTTCTATACTGCAGATAAACTTGGACGATATACCGGAAGTATGTCCAATATTTGGCACAATTCCATCAACATTGTCTAGGATTCTGCGCATAGGGTAGGTTGTGCGAGTTGATGAAACGGAGGTGCTCTGTCGCAGTGGAATCAATGCAGTGAACTGCATACTTTGCTGGGGCACCTGAGTTGGCTCGAGCATGTTCGCCTCATCGATCCGACCCGGGTACTGAAACAGATGCAATATGGCTAACTGCGTACAGAGAAGCGAAACGTCGGAAAATAAAAGTTACATTAACATGACATAATAAAGTTGCATTTATCACGAACTAACCTTGATTTCCGATGTTGGGGATCAAAGGCAGTAGGTCGGCACCAATGGCGTGAGCTAAGCAGGTTGGTGGTTGTCCAGGTTCAGGAGAAAGCACTGTTACATGCAGAGGGGAAACGCTTGATACGAATGCGACAGGCGCCGATGGGGTTTACCCCATCGACGTCAAGCGAGTGGTGCTGTAGCACATACGATAGCGAGCGCTTGAGACAAGCGGGACTCCTAAGCCACCAGCGTGGACACGTGTGTCCAGTATCCAGAAGACGACCAGTTAGTTGAATAGGTACTCTCCATCAGCACAAAGCTTGGTAAATACGCGCTTTCCGATTCAATTCTATTTACTAACCCAGACCAATAATGTGGTTGATGTGGTAGGCGTGCTACATCATCGTTGAAGTGGTCTGTAAGTGTGCCTGCGTGTTGCGATTATTGCATTTCAAGGGCTGGTTGTTGGTTGATATCACTGGTGTGGCTGCACTTGCTGAGAATGTTGACAAAGTGCCTACTTGTCTGTTACTCACCACATGGTCTATACTGCTTCCAGGAGACTGTGGAACGTTGCTTGATGGGAGGACAATGTGCTCGGTCCACGTGCCGGTACTGGGTTCAACGAGTGGTTCCATACATCCGGTGTGGAATGGGCTGCGGACTAGGCACCTCCTTATGTATTCCGGTACGCTTGACTTCCCAAGTAGACAGGAATGCTGCTGCTCTGCATGTTGTAAGTGTAGGGGCCGACTCCGGTGATGTAACGTGGCACTCATCCACATTCCTCCCAGTCTCATTCCTTGGGATCTACATCGGATAAGTGTATGTAGACAGAGCTGTGGGTGGTGTAGCGCAAGTCCCCTTGTCCCTGTCAGCAGCAGCGTCCTGTGCTTGTCCTACCTAGGCTGCACTGGCAGGCAAATCCACAGCCGAATGTCGTCAAACATGGTTGGCGGCATCCGGTTGCGGATTTACCTGTCACTGCGCCCTCCATAGGACAGCCACAGGACGCATGTGCCTACAGAGGGACCATGGATGGCTTGCGCTGCACCACCCACACACCACATATCTAGTGTAAACCAGAAGTAATAAAACCGGATGGCACGTAAATGGGAGCCACGTTTCCTCAATGCAACCGGTGTATATCGAACAACCTTGCGAAAAGCAATCAACTGGATCTCAAGATACACTAATTACGCAGTAATCATTAAAGCTCGTTGAAAGTGACCCACAGCTGTTAACATCTAAAGTTAAGCCACAAGAGGACATCAAGGCGCGGCGAACATTGCCAAGAAGCAGAGTCCATTTTCCATACCGCGTCGTATATTACGCACCTTGACAATACCATCTTGTTTTGCTGAGCACTTGGATTTACTGCTTGCTGCCAGTTTTCTTTCGCTTATTGGGCTCCGGATTCTGCTAGGATGTGAGAGAATACCTCTAGCAAGACTTAGAGGAAGAACATGATGTGCTACCTAATAACAA